ATACTGGACAAATGATTTACTTTCATCATCTAATATATTTAAACTATCTTGGTTGTAAGGGTCACAGCCACTGTGAGATGGGAGGAAAGACAATACTAATCAAAAGTAAACCACGCCACTTTTTTTCTCTAGTGCCGCTAATCTTAATTGAATCAATCTCGTGGCTTACGTTGACAGTGAAAGATTACTCGAACCTGGGAGGCCAAGCTGGACAGAGCTTCCAGAATAAATAAAAAAAAAAAATCTTCTTTAATCATTAATTTGTTCATTCACTCCCATTTGCTTCCATTCTTCAATGTCTTAGAAGATGTACCCCATGCAACCTTCCTCTTTAGCAATCATTTCCAAGTGTTCCTCCCAATAAGCTCATGTGCTTTTGAAGAAACTAATTTGCCTGAGATGAATACAGCAGTGATGCTTTTCTTTTAAGAGAAATGTAGTTGGATTTTATAGAACTGAGCATTTGGTGGAAAAGGATAGCATTTCTAATGAATTGCAACAAAACCAAGTTAATTTTGGAACTGAAATGTGTCTTATTAAAGAATATTAGGTAAATCCTACTTGGCCTAGGATGGAGTTGAGGAGTGGTTTATAACTTATTCATGGATTCACAACAGCCCTAGTCCTAAAGGAAGTAAGGCAGAGAGGCAAAAATCCCTTCAAGTTCATGAAAAAACTAGAGAACTTTGTACAGGAATCCCAAGGATTCCACAAAGCTATAATCATAATGACAATAAACAGTAATATTCTGTCAGATTAACTTTTTCTCCAGAATTTTACTGAATTAGGTACTGTTTGAATCCCACTGTTGCCTGTTACTTTAATTTTATTATTATTTTGTTGCTACTGAACAAGAACAATTCATGCATACTTGTGTCTCCTTCCTCAGTTTCCCAGAACTATATAATGCATTATATTTTCATCAATGTTGCAAAGTTACTTAAATAAATCTGTTAATTCATAAGATCGAGGAAGGCACTTAGTGGATGAGCTAGGATTTCTGATCAGGCCTTCATATCTGAAAATGCTTGTTTGCAGAGTTATGAATGTGAAAATCTTAAAAACCTAAGAACTTGAAATGAAGTCTGGAAGGATAGAAGCATCCTTGTAGAAAGAGGACCTTAAAGGCTACATTGAAGTCTCTCTAGAGATAAGGCTAGATTAAATCTATTCCTTCTAACAAATAGTTTTAATTAAATAATATTGGTAGGTGTGAAGCTAAGGTTTTGATGAACAACACTGTTCATATTTTGTGTAATCCATTATGAGCCCATATAATTTAAAACATTGCTATATTGTGTATTAATAAGACTCTTATGCAATTAGATGATATTTGAGGATGAAAAGCAGGTTTACTGGTGAGATGCAATAAAATCTCTAACATAGCAGCAAAATCCTACTAGAGATGTAATGGTTTGTGCTAAGTATATATTGTCTACACAAAATTTAAATATAGAAGTGTGTAAATAACATAGACTTATTTTCCCAATACATTTATTCTGTTATAAAGTAACTCCATTTTATTATTCCATTGGGTTTGGGTATGTGCAGACAGAATTTGCTCCTTAAGAGACATAGATGTTTAGGTCATTTCTCAGGGATTGATTACACTTTATAACTTGAACTTCTTCCCAAAGCAAGGAAGTCACTTTTAACTTCTTATTCTGGCATTGAAAAAAAACCAGATCAAATATATTTCTCAAAAAATGAAAAATCCTTTATGTTTTAGTAGCCCAAGTCAATGTCACTTACAAAGTTACCCAAAAAATTAAACAGGAAACCACAAACCTTTCAAATGACTAATAATTTCATCCATATTTAAAATCAAGAGAGTGTATTTGGTACAATTCCTGCCTCAAGCCAACCCTCTTTAAAAGTGCCATCTTGTTTTATTTTGATGTATATCTTTATAGCAGAATAATTAGCATTTTACAAATCAGTGATGGTGAAGTTGTTCACATTATTGTGAGGGCAATAAATCCACATGCACATAGTTTTGTATTATAGAGATCATTTAAGTGAGTGTAATTTTAACATTTTGATGACAGTTTTAGGATCCTACCAAGCAGTGATAAAGCTAGCAGTTATACTATGTGATAATTCTGCCTTTCATTATGATGCAGTTTCTCCATACTAAATCAGGCCAAGATGCAAGCTATTACCCCTGGGCAAAATCCATTCATTATGCATGTATGTTATTCCTAAAATTATTGATAACATTTTTCATAATAGTTATTTTTCATTAATTAACTTTTGCAGCTATATTAGTATTTACGATATGTTTATTAGTCTTGAGTTTTCCTTGAACAGTAAATACAATCTCAGAGCCTCTTGTAGTTTCTTAAAGTTGAAAGCTCTCATCAGCTGTGATGCTGTAAGGCCACAGCACAGTTGTGGAGCACTGAATTAAGCTGTGTTTAAGGAAAGCATTGGAAAGAGGGTAATTAATGTCCTGTGTACCACTGCTGTTGAGGACATGGCCCAGAAACTTTTGTTTGCCATAAGGAAAGTAAAAAATGAAGCTGCTGAAGCTGATTATGTTTCATGAGTGTAAACCTGGTACGAGGTTTGTCATCTTCCCTTATGCAAAGTGTGCAGGTGTTGGCTGATCAGAGGAGTCAGTGGCTGGAGCCCTCATCAGCCAGGCACAAACTGGGCTTTGCTGCCAGAGATGCTCATTTGAAACACAGGAATTTAAGGCCCAGGCTATATTTTTAATGGTGTCTTAGTCAGTTGTGAGGACATAAGGAGAAGAGTGAAAATTCATCAGTAATGTGTTTTCTTACCTGCTCTTTTACTGCCTGACTCCTGAGATCACTGTGGTCTATGAGACTGACTACATTGGAAACCAGCAGTTTCCAGGTGGTTCTCACCACCTTTCTTTTTGGCAGATGTTGCATATAAGATGATGCCACCTGGCCTTGTGATGCCTTGGCTACAAGAGAAGCATCTCAATAGCATAAGAGGCAGCATGGCATAGGAGGAGGTTTCTGCATTAGTGGGTCTGGATGGAGTCCAGGATAAGTCCTGTGTGTTGACAAGGCATTGTTGCTGTGGTGTGTGAAGCCAGGGCTGAGCAGAGGACAGGGAGGTGCATTGCAGCAGCTCGTGGGACTAAGGGAGTTACACATCACCTTTATTCTCCTGGAACCTGTACCCATTCCACCTCCAATTTCTGTATGTCCTACAAAATGTCTTTATCTGGTCCCAGCAGGTCATATTTTGGCCTGGCTTTATCTTCACTTAACTTCAAGGACTTTCTATGACTATAGAGACAGTCTAAGGCAGCCAAGTTCACCGTGGACAGAGCTAGCTGAGAGTGTGCATCTGAGCTCTTTCCTTAGCCTGCTTTCTTTCCTCCTGGTCAGGGATGTGTTTGAAATGAGACAAATATGGAAAAAGAGCTGGCAGGGTGGCATTTCCACTCACAGGCTGAATGACTTTTATACCTCCTTCAGATTCAAGGAAAAGAGTAAATATGAGTGGAAGTGAAAGTCATCCCTTGGCAGGTCCCTGTATTTCCTATATCTCACATCTATTTTTAACAAGACACTAAACAGCTGATGTAAGATCAAGCAAAAATAGTCAGTGTTCCCCCAGATAATCAAATAAAACTAAGAAAAGGTCTAGTATTCATTAGACATTTTGCTATCTTCCAACTGTATGAAGTGCTTTCTTTGGGGAATAACTTCAGAGACCTGGATTTTCATGGTTTGCTAACTGTAATAAATAAATCTGAATAAATCCACACTTCAATGCCAAGGACTGAATCAAACCCACTTATTCTTATAGTGAAAATATCCAGGCATTAAAAGGCTTACCATGTTGGGCTGTTCTGTTTAACAGTGAGGTAAAAAAACGGTGCAGATAACTGTAGTGGTAACTAAAAATTACTAGAACTCTAGGTTTTCTTAAGGACATGGTTTGAAGTTGCATGGTCAGACTTTTTCTTCACATGACTAATCCACTCTCCTGTGACCTATCTTTGGTTTGATATTGAATCAGGAACAAGAACTGGAGCTTCAGCTGACCCCAAACATTTAGTTACATTAATCACAGGGCGTTTTTGGACTCTGAGCATACTGAATGAAAGACACTTTCTTTGCAAGACATTGATCAAACAGTCTACAGGTATCACCACATCGAGGCACATTAATCATCTGGTGCATTATCAGTTCCACCAGGAGAATATGTAAATGTGATTCCTGTCAATGATAAGGGAAAGCAGAATTTATTTTTAAAAGTGGTCCTTCTGGAGCTGTTGATATAATCTTACCTAAGACAATAGGTTGCAAAGATACATTTTAGCAGGGCTGCCAATGAACATAAAGAACAAGCAAATTAAAGCCACCCAAAAAAAAAAGAAAAAAAAGGGGAAAAGATAGTGGTTATACTTCAGTCATTTGTGGGAATTGCTGTTGCACAACATTGTGGAGGAGACTTTTTCTGCTTAATAAAACAGGGAAGTTTTCTGAAAACTCTTATAATTGTTTTGTAACCACAAAAAGCTTAATTTAAAAGCGATGCTATTCTATTCTATTCTATGCTCCAGTGCTCTTGCCCTGGAATACACCTGTGATATACTTGCCTTGTGGCTGAGGATGTGATGCTCATACTGACTGTGAAACTCTGAGGCAATGCCTCACCTTCACAGATGGCTCACCTTCACTCATATTAATGGGGCTGCCTGGCTGAGAGTTGCAATGTGCATCTTGCTGAAAGCGTTTTTGCACAGATCTCCTTATATAATTGATAATTTACTCTGTTTTTTCGCAAGAAATAAAGGGGCATTTCTTTTTTCTTTCTTTCTTTCTTACTTTTAAACCTATGCCAAGTTAGTACATGCAAATATGCATTCTGACAGTGTTGGGGGTATGAGGACATATTTCAAGAAGTATTTTTTGAAGTCTTATCTGAGGGAATTTAGAGACCTAGAGCAGGGAAATTAGTAGAGATTGAATACATAAAATTGTAATATAATTTCTACTTCTTGTCTCTAGTGTTCTTTTCTACTTTCCCAACATCTTTGGACTATGAAAGTGGAACAAGGAGTCTTTTGGGAAGACGAGAGGACTTGCCTGTAAAGGGTATGGCTTTTGCTGGCTTTTGGTCCCTGAAGGCTGGAAGAAATGGAAGAAATGCAGTGCAGTCTGTGTGCAAAGGCTGAGGACAGAGTTTGCTTTGGGTCTAATCTTGGCTCTCTCCAAGTCAGGAGGAAGTTCTGCAGCAATGCAGGATCACAAAAGATTTTAGGAATTGTTAAACAGTTAGAAGGGAAAATGGGCTAAATTCTGAAGGTTTGGGGGAATAGGGTTAAAAAGTATTTTTGAGAGATTAGGGTTATAAAGCCATGTAATTAATGCTGCCTCATCTTGTAACTGAGATAAGATCCATGGGGTTTGGGGTTTCCCTCCTTACAGTACAACATTTGGCTTTCTCTAATGGTCAGCATTATGGTTCTCATTTAAATGTGGAAGAATTAGGAAAACTTGAATGTAATTGCAGTATGGCTGTATAAACTGCATATGAACAATGCTGCCTGGGAAGCTAGCAGAGAAAACAAACTACAGTTTCTGCACATGCAAAAAACCTCTTTGACTGTCCTTCCTTTTGTATGTTTAATACTGTCTGTCATCATATTGCAACCATGTGTCCTTCATAATTATATTTACATATACTTGTAGTTTTTTTCCAAGGTTAGAGGATTATGTCTGTACATTTCAATAATTATTTATACACTGTATGGTGTTTTATGGATTCCCTCTATCACATCTCTGCACTGTTGAGCAAAATAATAACGGAGCTATTAAATAAAAGTTCTTGTTGAAATGCAGGATTTTTGTAGATGTGTACCCAGCTCCCTCTGACCAACATAGAGAGGATGCCACTGTATCCTTGGGACACTCAGTATGTAGCTGCACCTGCAAGGATAATACTGTCAATGGCAATTTAACATGAAGCTTTTAAAGTTTTAGGTTTATTTTTTAAAGACAAGAAAACAAATACAATATTCCTGGTTTGCATTGTGCCTTGTATTTCTCAAAGATCTTTCAGGAAAAGAGAGTCTCCTCTTATTCTTCCTGTGTCCTCTTCTGCTCCTCTAGAGCATAGAGCTGGAAGCTAGTTAGATGTTATTAATGCAGGAATTAATTCAACATACCATGGACACAATTAAAACAGTAAAAGAAACTCATGACTCGCTTAGGGAAGGGAATAAACTATCTGGTCTAAATTGGTGTATAATATGTGCCATGTATCTCAAACTGGGTCACAGAAAGCTTTAGGAATCTGCAGGCTCACTGTTGTGGGTGAACATGTGCCAGCTGAAATCTTCAGGGAAACCAGGAAGAAGAAAAACCCTTTAAAGTGACCAGGAAATCACAAGTGTTCCTGAACAAGAGTGAAAACTTACAACGCCAGTAAAGTGGTGGCAGACTTCCATCCACAGAGCTCAGGACTTCAAGGCTGTCTGGAGAGGCAGGTGCCCAGGAGGAGCCCAGAAGCTGCTGACACTCCCAGGGTGGCAAAAGACCCTCATTGGCAGAGAGAGCAAAACCAACCCAGCACCTTTCATTACTGGTGAGAGCTGGAAATGACAAGTCTGCAGACTTTTGCACATATTTCACTCTTCTCTCTAAGAATTTCTCTCATATTTCCCTTTCTCTCTAAGTTTTACACTTCTCCCTTCTCCCCCATCTTTCTTTAAATATTTCTTTCTCTCTCTTCAACCCTTCTTTCTCAGTTCTCGGCTGTATTACCACACTGGAGTATTTAAGAGAGTCTCTAATGAAACAGGACTTGTGTTGCCAGCAGTCATTTTTCTAAGGTGTAATCAACTAACTGATAAAAATAGCTGATTATAGCAGCAAGTTCACGCCAAAGCAGTAAAGAGAGGCTTAGCATTTCCATTACAAGACTCATTATTGAGAAGTTTATGGCTCAGTTATTAAAAAGAAGGTGTCATGAAATTTGGCATTTGTAATTACAGCAGAGAGAAGTTTTTCTGAGTTGACTATTTTAAAATCTGGTTTGTTTTATTGATTTCTATTTCACTGTCATGGTTTATGGGCATAGAAACAATAAATAATGAGAAAAAATATGTGCCCACACTAGTGCTAGTGGTAAATGATAGACGTGGATAAATAGTTTGTAGCAGAGGAATGAAAATTGCTGCTCAGGTCTTGAAGAGGTGTCATTAAGCCAGCTCTGAGCCATGACACAGCAGACAAGCAGAAAGCCAGTACCACAAAACATGTCCTGGTTGGTTTAGCTGTTCTGGCCCCAGATGGACTGAGTGCTGCAGAGTCTGAGGTCTAGGGCTAACACTGGCCTTGGACACCCACAGAGGCTTCAGGAATTCCTGTAGAGGGTGATGAGACAACTTCACTCCTGAGACCACTTCTTCTGTTTGCTTTTTCCTTTGGGAAGGGCGAACTCATGGCTGATGCCTTGTCAATAATACTCACTGTATTATGAGAGGTTCACGCTGTGGCCTGACCCGGAGGAAACTTTCAGAAGAGGAAGAAGTTGTCTGGCTTTCTGCTTCAGCCTGACCTGGTCTTTGTGGCCACTGTATTCTGGTCTCTGCTTTTTCCTTAGAATAAATTTTGTCTTCACTAGAGGTAAATTCAGTTTATTTCACACTAGGATCTTCCCTTTTAAAGCAGATTTATTTCCAGGCTGCTGGAAATCTCATTTGGGCATAACAGAGTGTAGTATCTGGGATGTGTTCAAGGTTCAGAGAACACAAAAAAAAAATCAGTAGATTAAATATATATTGTTAGAAAAATAATTATATTAATGTAGCTTTGAAGGACAGTAAAAATAATAAGATGAAATGCAGAAGACATTTTTTATCATATATCAATATAAAATTTAAACAACTTTATCAGCTTTTGGAAATTATTTTTAGTGAAGAAGCTGGGTTTGTATTAACAGTCCCTTCCTTTGGGGTCATTGCAATGGAACTATGTTTAATGTTGCCAAAATGTTTTGTTTTTCCTCCCCATTTTCCTTTCCCTTTGAATGAAAGTTCCAGTGAAAGGTGTTCAACTTTGAGAATATGAGCAGACTTGTTTATTGCAACAGAACTACTTTTATGCTTACAGATAAGAAAGTGGAGAAAATCATGCAAGGATTGCCTTCTTTTTAATATGTCGAAAAGCCCCCAAATAAGAGGTAAGCTGTTTGAAATTTTAGTGATGTCAATATCTTCTCGGGTCTGGGTATGTTCCTTTGGTTTTAACAATTGCAGATAGGCTTATATTGGAGCTATTTCCAGGGGATTTAAATGTTTTTTTTTTCTCATTTATGCTTCATTCAGTCCTGGCAATATTTTAGGTGTTCTTTTGACATTTCTAAATGGACGTTGTCTTATCGCAATGTATTTATTTCTCTGCATTTGTTTCATTAGAATGTTGCCTTATTTTCATAATTTTTAAATTTTCTTTACCATTCTGCTGTGTTTTACTTTTTTTTTCTGGGAAAGGTGGCTTTTAAAAAACAGATAGGTATTCAAAAACCTCCATTTACCATACTTGAATTGCTCTGGTTCAGGGTGAGAAAATACTAGAGAAATGTTCTTTACTTGAAATTTTCAAAGATGTACCAAAGGCAGCCACCGAGAAATATTAAAATGGGAGGGCTGAGGTATTTATGTGGAGCACTGTGGTGGCTTTCTCCATCAGGATCATCCTAATAGACAATGTTTATAAATGGATTATGAGCTTCAATCGTTTTATTAGGATTTTTTTTTCTGCAGGTAAAAGCATCGTAGGTGACCCACACTTGCTGCAATTGCTGAGCAAGTCTGATCCCCAGATACCTGAGGAGAGTGTCACAGTGTGTTTGGTAACTGTGCAATTTGGGAATGTGAGTGCACCTTCAATTTTAAGTTGTCTTTTCTTTTAAATAGTGAAATACTTCTAGGATTAGGACCATACACAGGAAATTCTGACCCTGATTTTCTAATGTTCCTTTGTTGGCTGTTGCAGACCTGAGTTCTTCACTGCTTCTCTGTCTGGCCACTCTGATGGAAGGGGTAATGCCTGCAGACATGAAGTGAGAACAGATTGCTGATGAGCTGCCTTGTGCTCTTTAGATTTTAGTTTTCTGTGGATTTTACTTGCCTGGACTGCCTACAGTTGTTTGTGCGCAGACAGGGTGGTTATGTGCAAATTCCCGTTAGACTTCTACCAGAAAACCCTTTAGGAGGACAGAGAAGATGTTCCTCAGGTTTACTGGTCTGAAAACAAATGGTTTGTGTGTGAGTCTGTGGCACAGTGGCTGTCCATGGATCACCCACTCCCTGCTGCCTTGGGGCACGGTCTGACAAATCGTGTGTTCTTACTGTGCCACCACGTTAAACCCTCGCGTTGTTCCTTGGGCTGCAGTCTGGAGACAGAAGTCAGAAGACATTTCATTGGTTGAATATATGTGGAATGAAAACTATTGCCATTTGAGAGCAGCATCTCACAGGGGGAAGGGAAGGAGGGAGGGCACAGGAGGAGTGTGTTGATTGGGACTGACATGCGCCTTAATATCTGATGTGGCTTTCACACTTGGAAATATTCAGGACTCCATATGTTCCAAAAACCCCACTGAACAGTGCATATAACATTGCCTTTATCATTCTTTAATCTCAGTTTAATTGCTGTGGTCAAATTACCCCACACTTAATAACCCACAGCTTGGTATATTATTTAATATGGTTGACACATACTTTGTTTTAAATGTCAGTGCTGGTAAAGCCCTGGAGTTGGCAATGCTGTGCATGATAGATGGCAGAGGAGACGGATCATCTGTTCTTTGTCTGAGCTGTTGGTATGTTGGCTGCAACTTTTTCAACTGTGACACTAGACTCATGCCAAACCCAAAGCTACTGAATGGGTAACATTATCCCTTGTATCTGATGTTTTGTAGCTGATCATTCTCAATTTCTCTGTTTTTTTTTACAGGAATGTGTAATATTATATCACCCAAGTCGAGGTGGTGAACTAGTGTTGTTTCAAATGGGTTGATTTAATTATTTCAGCACCCAGTGGCACCTTTGTTATTAAAGGATTTTCACAAAGCAGTACATAGTCTAATTACAAATTTACACAAGAGACCATAACAGCATCTGCTGGGTAAATAATATACATTTGTAAAATGGTCTAGCTACTAATTTACACAGCAGACCACTGAGATGCTGAAAAGCTGTGGCATTCTGTCATGTCAGCTCTCAAACGTCCAGCATTCCTGCTTTTCCTTACAACTGTTAACAGAACAGAGAAAATCAAGTAACTAAAACTCTTCTGAAAAAAAAACAGGGCTGTTTGGCATTGGTGAATTTAGCTGCAGTTTCAGAGTTTTTTTTCTTGTCCCCAGCTGGTAGCAGAGCATGGGAGGTGCTATCATACATATTTTGGGGCCCACATCTATATCAGCACAAGCATGCAGGTTAAGAAGGAGGTGCACATTTTCATTCTGGATTGCTGGCTCTGCTCTCTGGGTGCAAACCTGACCTCAAACCCCAGGAGATTGATGTCTCCAGAGACTTTCTCCCTGCACGGGAGAGCCCAGGGAGGGAAATACATGCCACTGTAACTCTTGTGTCACGTCCCTACAACAATGTTCAGACTTCAGCCAGGACATGCTTATCTGAAAAATCTTTGCCTGCAATCTTGGTTCCTTGCAGCTATAAAAGTTTGGTGCCAGTTGCAGCAAGTCAGGGGCTGCACTGACTTGTTCTGGGGAGGCTGGCCGCTCTGAGATCTGCAGATGCAAGTGCAGTTTACTCATTGAGAACGCTTTGGCCTTTTTTTTGGCAACTGGGTGTTGATATAGAGGCACAAATTACCCACTTCTGAGAGCAGCTATGATAGATTCATGCAGCTCCTGAGTAACAAGACGATGACAGCTGGGGAGTAAATCGCTGGTGTAAGGTAAAATTTTTGCCAGATCAGTGAGACTGACATTCCTAGTCTGGAACCCATTAGTGATTAGTGAGAATAAGATTTAAGATTTATCAGTCTCTCAGCTAAATGCAGCTTTGCAAACTGGAAAGAAGAGCTTTACCTATAGCTTAGTGCTAAGAAGAGAAGAGCTCAATGTTAGGAAATGCCTTAAGTATCTTAACTGTCCATGGATATGAAGTTGTCTACCAAAAAAACCCAAACCAAACTGAAAACATCTAAGGAGAAAGAAATCTAAAGCAGCATCCACTGTGGGATCCTATCTTTTTGTGTGTTTCTGGAAGGAGAACATAATGGTTTCATTGCCATCTGTGCAGCAGGATGCCCATCAACTTGAACTCTTATCTTTTGCAGGCAGAAAACTGGAAAAGCTCTCCCATAGCAAATCCCTCTTTATTTCCTCACAGCTGTCTCACCTATGTAAGCTGCAGAGCCTTTTCCAGCAATGCTGAGAAAAGATTTATGTCTGTACTACAGGAGAAAGTCTCCTTCCCTGTTTAAGCCTGAATTCTACATCAACAGGCTGCATCTGTGGAAGGGAATTCAGACTGGTTTTCCCAAGTGCTCTATTTTCCATTTAAACATCATGCTTAGGAAATGATCACAACAAAGGTTGTGTTTCACATTAAAAACACATCCGTGCAGCACTGTTTATTCAGAAAAGAAAACCAATATAGTTATTTTTCTTGATTCCTTGAGTATGGTTTGGGACAATGACAAGAGAAAAGAATGGGAAAAGTTAGAATTAGAGACAGCTTCCTCAAGAGGAGTGATGATTCTCATCAGTTGTGCCTCTTGCTCCTCCATCTGTGGTTTAATTACTATCAAAATTATACAAGAGTGGTATTGGAGAAGAAAATCACCATTGCCCTAAAACAAAAGGACCCCATTGAAATTACACATGAGACTGTCAACCTGTTGGACCTAAATACCTGATTTGTTTACATGTAAGATCCTTTTAGCAGTTACATATTTTTGGCCTTGGCTTGTATTGTTTGCTGAATGAGCATCAATCTGTAAAGGATCCAGTTTTCACATTGACCAGGCAGAAAATACCCTCTGATAAAAGAGAAATATTTGTTGATTATGCATATTGTCTCTTTTACCTCACATTGCCTTCATATCAAAGGCAACATGGCAGTTTGTTGAAAGAAAGGAAATATAATTTTGCTTTGTTACAGGAAGAAAAGGATCTTTACAAAGCTTTTGGCTCTTGTTCAAGTATATCACACCATTTGTGATGGCTTTATAAACTAAGCATGGTTTAAGACAGTCGAGGATGAGTCAGACTGAAAGAAAACATACAATTAATACTTCACTGTAAACTTGGGATTAAGATTATCCATGAAAATCAGAACTATTACAAGGCTGTGCATTGTGAATGGGGGAGTAAGTGGGAAGTTAAGGAAGAGAAAAACTGTGTTTAAGATGAAAGCTGCTTTCATTGAAAACTGGATCATAGCAAAAATGTAACAGGAGAAGTGAAATATAATTAGGAACGTGACATTAGCAGTGGATTTGCAGAATGTTGCCCAACAGGTGGGTGGAGTTTCTTTGACTTCATTTCAGCTGGAGTATTGAAACACACAGATGCAGCCTTTAAAATTAATCTAGACTGTGAGAAAAAAGGTAACAAGAATGTTCAAATACATGAGCTTGCACCACCAGCATGTGTCCTTGCTCTTTCTCTTCTAGCTGTAATAATCACCTCCCAGTTAAGATGGTTCTTCTCTTCCTCTGTCATTCCTTGTTTCTGCAGTTCTGCACTGGAAAGCAGAGGGGATATTGGATTTCCTTTCATCACAATGACAAGTCAGGGAAACATCTGTTTTAAACAAAATGTGCAAAAGGTTTGAAAAACAATTAAGGTGGGTTTTTTGGCATTTTTTGTTTATGTCTGTTAAGCACTGGTTTTTATTAAAATAAAATTTATGAGTATAATATGAAGAGAAGACATTTAAAAGATTGAATTTAGAGTATTCAGAGAGGAAATCTGTGAAAGGCAAAATGTCCACCAGAATGGACAACATGAGTCGCTTTCTGGACTCCAGGATGGAAGCATCAATACAGAAACATTTGTTTCAGTTTATGATTTTTTTTTGCAATCCAGCTAAAAATATCAGCACCACCTGTGATACTAGAATCAGATTTATTATCAGCCTCTCAGGAATTGCAAAACAGCCTAACTCCACCCGACTGTTAATAAATCAGGTGCTGAAAGCACTTCAAATGAGAACTTTGCTGAAGAGACAAGTAACTCACAAGGATCAAAGGCTCAAGTCAGTTAAATTGGCCATTTGCCCTTTTGGCATAATCAGAATGTATTTTCAAAAAAGAAGAAAAGAGAAAAATAAATGACACGATGCTTTTATTGACAAATATTAAAGTGGGAATGGGCATCTGTAAATCAGTCACTCTGATTCTGCAAAACTGAGTTTTCCACCAGTGCTGAATTAATAAAGCTTATGAATTTGATCCAAAGCCCACTGAAGACAACGAAAAAAATGCTTCTTTTGATTTCAGTGGTTTGGATCTGACTGTTGGAAGCTCCCTGATTTGGACAATAAACATCCACCCTCCCATGAAGCTGACTTGTCTCTTCACTGTGCTCCCCTGACATCACACACATGCAGAAAATCAACTGACATCCAGGCTTACAATGAAAGAAATTGCCTGAAAAATATTGCAATATCCAGCTTCCTGGATTAATTAATAAAATTACTTGCTCTTCAGCATAGATTACATGCTGGGCATTTGAGCTGGTGTGCTCTGGGGAAGGGGTGGAAAAAAAGGTCAGTGGAGATGTAGAGAAGAGAGAGGAGCACACAGGTAAAGAAATACCATGAATATTGATTCATGATGACAGGAATACATTTTTAAACACTGCATAGCTCTGATTTACATGAACAATATTTGCCTAATTGAGAATCACAGAATATTCTGAGTTGGAAAGGACCCACAAAGATCATCAAGTCCAACTCTTGAATGAATGGCCCATACACGGATCAAACCTGCAATCTTGGCATTATTAGTGCCCTGTTCCAACCGAGTTCATCTCAGGGTCTTAAACTGAAGCTGTCAGCAACATCAACACTGGCAGCTTTACAGAATTCTATCTCTAACTTCTTTTTGCCCTTGCACTGGGTATTGGCTGCAGGGATTTTATTTTTCAGTTTCAACTAGTCTCCACTTTTGTTTGAGTTTCCTCTTTCCTGGGTCCTCTTCCTGGTGGTCTGCTGTAGAAGACAGGTCATTGTGATGAACTGTGTGTTTTTTCTTTTTCTGATGAAAAAGATGACCATTCAAGTCATAAAGAGAATTTCTGGATGATGATGTTGCTGTGTAGCAGTCTGGATGTGGTCTGTATGTCAGGAGGGGATGGGCTTCACGGGTGCCTGCATTATGCTTGGCAGAAGATGGACTGACCTTGTGGGCAGCAGGAGGAACCACAGGACAAGCACAGGCACGGCCAAGGCACTTCTCCCACACTTGGTAGTGAAGCAAATGTGAGTCACAAACTCACATTTGGATGGGTGGAAATGGTGTTCTGCAAGCACTTAATGTAGAATCCCATGCTTTCAGGCTCCCAGTGATAATGCTGAGGGATAAAGGCTCTCTTCTTCTTGGATACCCAGGTGCAGCGCTGCTGATGTGAGCAGTTAGTCTGGGTTATAGGCAGTGCAGGAGGGAAACCAGTGCTGTTCCTGTGGCAGTGATGTACACCTGAAAACAGTGCAGAATGGTGACTCACAGGTCAGCGTGTGGTGCTCTGGAGTTCACTGTTTGCACGTGTGGTTGGTTCTGTGTAAGAAACTGAAGAGCAACCTGGTTTATAATGGGTTGAGAGTGTGAGGAAATCTGTGGAGTGGCTGAGAGCTGTGCATTTTCAACTGGGCAAACATCAGACAAGTAAAGAGCATGTTTGCTGTCCCTCTTTGCTTTGCTTTTGCAGGATGTCTG